AATAATGATCAAGGTTTTAATTACTTTTCATATTTTTAGTGATAAATTTGTGATTCTGAATATTGCTCACGTTGAATACATTGAAGTCATTTCTTCACTATCGTATTAGCTTCCTCAGAAGTGATCTTATTTTGAAATGATCACAGTCATTTCGCATCTGATCCCTCTCCATACCATAAATCGTCTTCCTGTTTTCACAAACAGATCGTCCCATCCTCTGGGAGCTTTTCTCAAAGGTCCTTCATATTCCTTTAAGTACCAATGCAGGATTTTTGATTCTACCTCATTTATTGTTTTGTGTTTTGTCTCCGTGTTTTTTGTTAAATATCCATATTCGTTCCTTAAAGTGATCGAAGCCTTTTAAAGTTCGCTTTTGGCTATCTTAATTAGCAATTAATCATGCAATGTGATGTTAAGTTTCGTTTTGAAAGTGATTAAACAGTGTTGATTGCTATAATACAATCGGTTGTATAATTAAGGGGGTAACAAATATGCGATGGTTGAGGTGTTGGATGGTGTTGTTGAGAATACGATTCATTCAGACAGCAACATGAATATGAGTGATAATACTAATGATAGTATGAAAATGGATGAGAGTAATATGAATGATGGCGATAGTGGTGAAGCGTTGTATATTGATGGCATGATTGATCCCTTACCGCAGGGTATCAAATTGAGAAGGTGATTGTTGTGTTTAGTTATATTGTTGGTGATATTGTGATTTATTTGCAATTTGTGGTTGTCATTGCATTACTTTTGTTAAGTTCACCATTTAAGGAATCGAGTCTATGGCACCTGTCGATGTCCTGAATGCGGCCAGTCGTTTGTGAACACTGCAAGATTGGAGAGGCATCTGGCTGTTCATCAGGTTTCATTTAGTTTTTAGTTGTTATTATATGGTTTGAGGATTATAATAAATTTACTCGTTATTATATAATTATTATAATGGGTTAATATTGTAGTAATATAGTTTGTTAATACATAATAAAGTTATTGTATAATTATTATAGTTATTATGTAATTTGGGAATTAATATTTTGTGGATTATGATATTCATGTATTATTGTATATTTGTTCATTGACAATAGTGATTATAATAATACTCATTAATTAAGGTGTTTGGCTCATTTTTGTGTCCGTTGTGTGGTAAAACGTATAAATATGAGTATAATTTATTCTATCATTGGCGTAAAACGTGTCGCGATTTGAATGCCTTATTGGGTCTGGAAGAGCGAAGAGTCGGTTTTTAGAACATTGTTATTTGAATTATTATTGTTTATCTGTATATTTGTGGCAGAAAATATTTAGTGCATAATTTTTGATATTAAAGAAAAGAGATGAGAATTATAAAAGTAATTGAAGACAATGGACGTGGGTGCGTTAAGACAGGTGGTCGAAGAGGTGGCGCAGAAGAAGACCGACATAGGCCCGATTGATATCGGAATCAATCGACGTGTTTTGTACGCAACGACGCCGCTGGATAAACTCGAGATGCCGTCCAGCCTTCATAGTAAATTTTTGGATTGTATAAAGCCTGTTGAGGTGACCTGCAGCCTCAGATCTTATCAACACGAGGATTGCTTGTAGATTCGAGAAAAGTTTGTGGTGTCGAATGAGCTTCGATTGCTTGAGATATAGCATCATTTAAACATCACATTTTGATCCATTACTGTTCCATGGACACTCTTAGCCCCGGCCCAAAAAGGAGATTTTTCATGCAGGCTGACACTTGTTTCATAAAGAACTTCACATCGAGTAGATAGGATCGCATGTTCCCAGTTGAATTAGAATCAACATGTACATATGCTCGTGTTCGACTCGATGAGTAGTTTAAAAAAGCAGAATTTGACTTGTGGTCAACTTGACTTTGACTTGTGAATATCAATCACAGTGTATTTTCAGATCGCCGCGGTAATATATGCCGCAGTTGT